CGCAACCCTGATTCGAACCCGGGCCGCAGCGGTGAGAGCACTGCGCCTTAACCACTAGCCTACCAGGGACGGCCTATGAAATTATACAAATAATTTAAATTAAATTAATAACAAAACTGAGTAGGAAATCTGATTTTGTTGTTTTCTAATTGCATCAGAACTTTAGATACATTTTTATACATCTTTAGATACAGTTATAGATACATCTAGAATTATAGCCACTTATAATTTTTGACCTGAAATCTTGACATTTAAAAAAAATTTCAATCCAAGGCTATGACTCACAAAATGAAAGCTACTTGCAAATAAAATATGATGAGCTGGACATAAATTTAACCATTGCTATCAGCTAATAATATTTATGTTGAAGTAACCCAGACACTTGATTGTTGATGATGCATTCAAACTATAATTTGTAATTAATTAAGATCTAGCGGCTGAAAAGAATTTTTTTTGAGGAGGTCTGACGCGCACATCTGTGCCTGTGTGTGTACCTCGGCTCTGTTGCAGCCTATTCTGATGGATTCAGCGTCACATGGTGGAACAATGCTCCCTGTACACTCACAAACACACACAGTGAAGCCACACAGGGCTATTAATGCTCTGTGTGACTGATTCACTTTAGAGAGATCACACAGGGTTATTAAAGTGGACTGGAAGCTGCAGCCACCTCGAACAATGTACAGTCAAACCTGCAGCTGCTCAGTGGTCATAATGTCTCTATGTATGAATAATGCAAGATGATAGGATATGATGCCTTTTCCTCCCTCACTGCTGCCTATTTCTACCCATGGATTTGTTTGAATGTTGTCCATTCTGTTCCTTTAGAAGACATACATCCTTTCACCTATTCAACCCTCCTTCTGTTCTCTTATTACAAAAACACTGTCATGTCCTCACAGATCTACCTTAATGCTGATACTAACACACACACACAATGTCTCATATACACGCCTAATCTAAATTAATATTTATCAGTCAGTGGCTCAACAGATTAATTATGGATTCTAGATGGATCAGTAATCCTGAGGTAAACACATACACACACAAGCCCCTGCAGCAGGTTAAAAATACCCACAGGAGGATCAGAAAGGCATTACTGATATTGATTTAGCATACAACTGTAGCTATCAATCCCCTTTATGTCTGTGAGGTCTAATAGTATGTGTGGCCCTCCAGGTCCCATGGCTGCAATAACTTTATCAAACTATTCTTTCAGTTGACCGACACTCCTCCATAGATAGTATCCATAGATTCACTACATACATACATGCTTACATATTTGAACAGTGGAACAATAGCAATAACAACTATTGATTTAATTATGGGTGGAAGTACCCTTTAAAATCTCGGTCCTCAGATTTCTCCAAAACTGTGATTGATTATCATCTGTTATGGTTTGTGGACTTTTATTTTGGTTTCCTGTCCTGTCTCACCTCACCTGCCCCATAATTAAAGGTGGTGTTGTACTGGACTACATAATATTCAGAGGTGTTCCTAATATTCTGACCCTCTCATGTATGTCAATGGGCAGGACAAAAATATACATTCACAGTTTTTGTACAAAAATATCAGGTGCTAGATTTTCCACTGTATTCATCAGCTAGTTGCAAATCATTGCCTGCTTGTCATTAAGCAAAGAGGAGGCAGTGCACAGTGAGTTTATCACAGTTTTAAAATGATGCTAAAAACTAGCTAGGTTGGTGAGAGTAATTTGCAGGCTGGCAAAAAGGAAAACAATTAGCTAAAAAATGTAGAACTGTGTGATAATTTTGAGAGTGCAGGCAATCTCACTCGACAGTGCCAGCCAGCACAAGAGCTCAGCAGCGTTCAACTCGCTGCACAGATGCACAGAGCTTTCTGGCTGTGGATGTGACACTATGATTCCAGGATGTTGAGATTAATTGGGTCTCCATAGTTACACAATAACATTTTGAGACATTGATTCATCAAATGGTTGAGACCTGCTGCTGCCTTTGCTGCCAAGTGAGGTCGCAGTGTCTGGCAGAGCAGTGAGTGAGCGCATGTGTTTATGCAGTGTCGAATGGTCGTTTAGGGAAATTAAGAACTGTTTAAACAAAAAAAGAAAAAATTGGCAAACAATCAAGAGAAAGAAAGAATGAATGTAAAATAAAAAGACAAGGCAGCTGACATCATCCTGTTGATGAAGGATACAGTGGAGGACTTTATAGACATCTCATAAAGGGCAAAACATCTGGCCAGTAGCTACTCATCACACCAGCTGATATTTCCATTGTGTTTGTATGCGTGTATGTGTTGCAGGCTTTTGACCAAACATGCATAACTTCTCTTTTACACCCCTGTCAGTTGAACAATAACAGGAGTAAAATTCAGCAGCTTCTGTTCATGCCAACCTTTTGAAGTTGGAGCACTGAGCAACTTCAAGGAAAAAAACCATGATGAAATTCTGGTGAAATTTCCCTTTAACTTAGATTTCCCCGATAGAAAGGAAGATTCATTCCTATTTCCATCTGTTCCTCATTCAGCCATGTCTTTCTCCAATTATTTCTACCTTACCTTTCTCCCCTCAGTCCTTTCCTTTTCTCCCTTTGTTCTTCCTTCCTTACTGCCTCCGTCTTTCTCCCTTTCACTTGCTTTTTCCTTTGTTTTCATCAGTTTCATTTACAGTATCTTTTCCTGCCTCTCTCCTTCCCTTCAGCCTTTTCACCACTCCTGCTCCTTATAATAAACATCACCATATATGTTGATTAATCTGATTAAAGTGTTAAGGAAGAGCTGAATGAGAAGCCAGGATATCAGAGGCAACTCAAATAGAAGCAAAGACAGTCTGTAGAAACCAGAATAGTTTTCATTATCATTATTTGAAGTCTCTTATTATTGTTATTATTACTAGTATAGGTGTTATTAGGATAAAATAAAGTTCCTTGGCCTTTGTTGATGCAGAGAGAGAGGGTGCAGGCTACTGACAGTAGAGCAATGGTTCCATGCCGCTTCCTTTTCTCCCAGTGATTCGTTTGGAGTCAAATCCATCAATTGCAAAACTAAAGGGGAGATTATTCCATTTATCCAGATTCTGTGACTTTTAAAGCAGTCACATTTCACATTGAAGTAGGACTCATTCCTTTCCATTTGGCTGAGGTTTAATGGTAATTCCATTCAAATTCCAGTGGTTTAAACTCCATTTTTATTCCATTACATATATGAAGTTTGGTTAAAGGGAAAGACAGCATTCTATGTTGAAACTAAGACAGGAACTTATATTTCCTTTCCAAAAAGTCACTTTGGTTTCTTGTAACTCCATAATAATCATGCGTGCATGAATCTCCCAGAGGAAAAGGTGAACGATTTCTATTTTCCTTTTAATAGATCCTTAGAGCTTCCTTTGTGTTTTCCTTATAAGTCTCCACCTTTGTTTTGGCATGTGTGGAAAACGGCAGATGTTTGTAAAGACAGGAGTAATTTTCTCCACAAAAAGATGCTGACTGACCTGGCTTCACCGTGAATGTGATGTACAGCTCAAAAATATTTTCCCCATAGACCACCATTATAAAAGAAGTCTGTAAAACTTTTGAAAATACAGTTAATTACCATTATTAATGATCAATCATTACTCTTTGTGTTGGAATCCTTTAAGCTATGAGGGTTTAATGATTGTCAAACATCCCCAGAGCCTAGAAAATTACTTTAATGTGTGTGATGTTATCACACTATAAACAAACCTAAAAAGCTCAGAGAAAGAGACGGTGTGTTTACATAGACATGAGTATCCCGGTTATGATCAGCTATCCTATTTTTGTGTTTGCACAGCATCCAATTCCAATTTCAGAACCCCAGATGAGCTCCTATGCTGGTTTTGAGAATCCTGACTATGCTAGATGGAGTACTTCAAAACAAACCAGGATACTGTTGCATGTATACATCTAATCCAGGTTTCTGAATGTTATGGAGTGTCTGTGCAGGTGTGGCTGCAGGCCTGGAGTAAAGTAAAAGAAAGCTTCTCAATTTTGGAGCGATGAAGAAACTGAATTTTGTCTTTCAGTATTGACATCAATACAGATTAGATGGGAGAAAGCATAGAATCAACTCCAGGTAGTGTTAAGTTGCCCGACAGCTATTAACATTAGCATGTAAATCCTCAGTGTTTTTCATTACAGTTACCAAATGTTTGCCTGATTATAATATATTCATATGGTTAGATATAGAAGATGACACAGCTGAGGAGACTGAAGATTTAGCCTAGAAGACATCATTAACCAGGATAACAGTTTTTATCATGTATGCAGAAAAATGCATAACCAGAATTTGCTGTGTTTCATGTAAACGCTATATGCCGAATATGATTAAAGCCGAGATATTCTCAATAACCAGGATACTCTTGTCTATGTTAACACACTCAGTGATAAGCATATGGGCACAAAACGGAAGAAATTTTTAACTAGTCTAAAACCCAGTGTTTATAGTGAAATTCATCTATGTAATTTGGGGATGTCATGAACTTCAAGTTTTTGGTGAGAAGAAACAATTGCATTGCACACTGAGTGGCTTGAACAGAACTCTTAGGTTACCGTGCTAGCTAACTAGTTCAATCACTAGCGGGCTACTTTGCTAGCTCCCTCATTTTCTAGCTATTTATCCCACTGAGTAGCAATTCAGCCACACTGATCACTTATGTGCTTGCTAGCCATTTAACCAGCTACCTATCTAGTATGGGGCCTGGATTTCTTTTTGAATAAATGAACATGGACAACAATGTGTCTGCGCCATATTCCCTGTCTTTATCAACATCTGCCATTTTAGTATCTCTTCTGTCCTCGCCAGTGTTAAAACAACCATCACTGATCCTTAGAATCTGTTCCGATCTCGGAAATGTTGCATTCTAGAATTCCACTGCAGAATTCTGAGTCCGTCTGGATCCATCTGGATTCTCAACCCCCACCTCTCTCTCTGTCTCTTTTCCTCCGTGTTCATCCATTTGAAAACAAAGAAAGAAAGAAAAACAGTTTGGTAGTCCTTTTCTCCTATAGCTGCGTGGTGACTGAGTCCTCTACGACCTCACAGCTGTCCTCTATGAGGTTGTCACATGGTCCCACCCACCCGCCCATCATCATCACCCCTCCCCGTCCCCCTCCTGTGTCCACTGTGTCCGCTCCTCCCATGCCTCCGACCTGAAAAACGTCCTCACTGGAATCCAGGAGGCGTGAACTGGACTCTGACATGTTGGAAGCACAGTGCAGGGATTGGCAGGGGCACGGGGGGGGGAGGGGCAGGGTCAGGAGCGAGTCCCGCCCATTTATTCTCTGCGGTGAAAAGGAGGGGTTATTGATGTCAACTGAGCGGCCAACCTCATTCAGGTGAGTGTCACTTCTGGTCACATCACTAAGTCCAAAGTCGGAGTGGCTGTGGGTCCCCAGGGGGTGGAGCAACCCATCAGAGATGGTGTAGGAAGGCGGGGACTGGAGAGGAAGTGGCATGGGTTGGGCTCTGTGTTTGGAGCGCAAGAACAGGTAGGAGAGGCGTTTGAAAGAGTCTGTTTTTGCCCTTGGAGCTGAGAGGCGCTGCAGGCAACTTCTCGTACGAGCAAGTGATGATGAAGATGTCAAAGGAAGGGCAGTGGTAGAGGATGGAGAGATCATGGTCGTCTTCAGCCCATTACTCTTTGGTTTCCCCTCCTCTTCCTCCTCCTCCTCCCCCCATACAATGCCCTCCTTGAGCTCCCCCTCCTCACTC